GATTCATTCCCTTCCCTCCCATAGTATTTGGTCTTCAAAGCTGTTGATTTTAATGTACAACGTATCATGCATATGTTATTTAATTCTAATTAACCGGCTGGTCTCCAGAAATGTTAGCTAATACTCATTCCTAAAGTGACTCCGCGCTGCATATGGTGTTGACCTGTTCTGGAATGCAAAAACTTTAGTCGTAATGAAGTTACAGGACAGTCCACTGATTTTTTTTAAGTAGCATGAATGTACAACAAACACACTCAGTACTTCGGCAGAACGTACTTGTCTTTTCTGTATATTACTATTACGTAATTTATGTATACAGAACTTATGATCTCAATATCTATTTCCTGAGCTATAGTCGTCATTGGTGACTGGATGAAATACTGTATTGTTCCTTTCTCACAGGACAAAAACGATTGAAGCGAAGTTATCAAATGAAGACACCAATGTTTATTGAACCTGCTGAAAACCAAAGAAACATAACCGACTTTACTGTGATTCGTTCGGCTAAAAGATTCCACAAGTAGTTCTGTTTTTGCTTAGTTTGGCGTTCGCCGATATGTGTCTATTTGTTTTCTGTGGTTTTTTGTTGTTTTGTTATTTGTTTTCCTTTATTCAATAAAAATTAAAAACCGATAAAACAATTAACATGCGATTGCCGCTAACAAATAGCATTGGGTAGATGAATAAGAAGGAGATCATAAAAAGTTAAAACGTTCACAGCCAAAGTTTCACAATACATGCGCAAGGTGTTTGTAATACTTTATAAGACGGAATCCGTTAGGAAACTTCCTGATGTAAAATGACGCCGGTAGAGCAAAAAAGCAGTCTAAATAAACAATTATCATCATCACTGTTAATCATCAATTTAATAGCAAAAAATTACTTACAGTTAAATCTAGCTAATCCAAATTTTACAAAAGAAGTCGCAGTACAACAATAAACTAAGTTGAATATAATGTTTGCCAGTGGTGTCTATTCCAGGACATCCAGATTTGCCTACAGATAGGTAGATATCTTCTCAGTGCTTGAACATTCCCTAGTTCAGCCCAACTAAGTGATGCGCCGCGGTCCTGCACTGCAGGAACTTAAATACCATGGAGTTTAATATGCTTAAATAATCTACAACGTGACCAGAACCAATGAAACGATGGAATGCTGCGATATATCCCCGTGTAAAAATGACTTCCATCCGTCTTATATCGTCTCAGCATCAGTGAAAAGTAAGTAATTTTATGTTACTTTACACAAAACGTTAGAGCCGAAAAAATTTACTATCAGTGTTTAAAATATACAGAACGCCCAAACCGTTACATTCAGACTTTCAAAAAAAAAAATTTGTTTTTCTATCAGAGTAAACAATAACATTGTTATCAGCTACGACTTTATACATAGCATGAAATAATCACTAAAATATGTCATAAACAATTTCTAAACAGTCGCAACTTTTTTTCGTTTTCATATGTTTGAATTCGGTAGTGCAAAGCATCGACCTCTGTTATGTTGAGACCATCACCTCGATCCATTTGCATAAGTAGAACGACTCTGAGATATCGACAGCTTTTCAATGATTACTATAAGGCACCGACTATAGGATAGCAGAAGAAAGCACGGTAGCTTCGTGTGTTTCGGCTCGCACACGAGAAGTTCATGGGTTCTAGTAAACGGTGTACTTTCAACCAGTTTGTCTAAAAAGGCTAACCTCCTTTCTTAATCTCCACATCTACCGAGGTTACGTGTGCCCGGAAGTGAACAGTCATTATTTACGTAGTCCTGTTTTACCTACATTATGTGTCGAAGCCAACGCCACTGTATACTCTGTTCAACCGTCATTCTTGCTCCTTTGTTAGAACAACTGTCTCCATACCGTACAGCAACTGCCAGCAAAACAGAGGCGGATTTTCATAGGAACAGTAATTCAGTTCTCAGCCCAAATATTGTAAAGGTTTCCGAATGCACTCGAAGCTATGACGATTTTCTTCTTTGACCCTGGCAGGATAGTACCAACCATCGTTGAAGATGATGGACTCGAAATACTTAAACTGGTAAACCTCCTGATGAGCTTCGCTTGTCTGTTCCGCTTGTCCATCAGCTGTGCCGGATGAGTGACTCATAACTTGATTTCCCGGTGCAAAGGAAAAAGCCGGATTTCACATATGTTGCATTCGGAAGCCGCCAAATGACCCACCCCATCTCCGTACCACTCAGTAGGACAATATCATATGCGTACTCCAGCAGCAAAATATGTAGTCGGATATGTTGAACTGTGCCTTCCTTATAGAATGGGACCTTTGTCTTAGGGTCAGCGCTGTTTCGGGAAAGAAAGTCGAAAACAATGTTCAATCGCAAACGCGAAAGCACAAATTCTTGGCACCACTACACAGTTAATAGTGAATAATTGAAACAGATCTCCTTCAGTTTATAAAGCAGGTATTGTTCGTACGTAAATCTGTTTCAAAAGGGAAACGAAGTGCCCAAGTATCCCTGGCATTTCAGGATTTTCCACGTCGTCAGATGACGTAGGTATCAAATGTAGCTTTATATTAGAGGAAACTGGTAAACCAAGGCAGTTGAAATCGTCGGCATTGCTCAGTGATTATACGCACGCAGAGGAAAATATGTTCGAGGAAGAAGTATCCCATCCGGAAACTTGCTTGATTTGGACGAAATGCTGCATTAATTGCCTGTCTCAGGCTTTCAGGATAATCTAGAAAATGTATTCAATGTAGCTGACAGTAGTCTGATACCACGATAATTGGAGCAATCGTTCAGACGAACCCTTTCACATATCTGAACAATTACTCCACACTTCCATTCTCATGGGAAACATTTGTAGGTCGACTATGATAAAACAGGCGTAGAGCCTTTCCATCATTGCCGTTTCTCCACAATTAATTCATCCGCAGGCCTTCTTCACCTTCAGATGTAGCAAGGCCTTTTCGATTTCGGATTCGTCCATGATGAATGCTACGCGGCTCTAGCGTTTAAAATGATGCAAGATGTGCCTAGCACAGCAGGTATTGAAATATGATGGAGCCGTTGGTCCACTTAAAGGCGCCTCTAGGCAATTAAAAGCTAGGGGAAGGCAGAAAGTTACTGTACAACGCGGTAAAAAGGTTTCTATCAGGCTTACACTACTGCAGAATCGTCTATGGCGAGCAGCAACGGTCTGGCTCAACTGAACTGTCTTATACGAACAAATTAAGGCTGTTACTTGAGCTGCTAGTTCTTGTCTAAAATTATATTTTTTGCTGTAGACATTGCCCTAGCTTTAGCGCAAACCTGGACTTAGGCACTTCTGAATTTAACCCATAGACGTTATTACGCAGGATCGGGACCATTAAAAACTTAATTGCTGCGGCTGGGCCTGCAAACCCCAAAGCAATGGTTGAATATAACATCGCAAAGATAATCTTACATTGTACTGTAGTGCATTAATAAGATTTTACTGCCTATGTTCAGAAAGCGTTTCACGACACTAAACAGTTTTCGGTACCAAGTCATCAGGATAACACTGATTAAGCCGAAGAATCTTCGTCCCACCATACTAGCAACGCTAACGGTACGTTATTCGAGAGTGCATCTGAATCTCGGCCAAAAATGCTGTTGAAATCCCACGATCAGATATCCCGCTCATCAACTTCCTTTTGAGATAGATAAATAAGAATGAGCATGACTTATATTGGAAAAAAGCATATGACTAGACTTTGTAGATCTCATTAAGATACAGCCATGGCCCTAAGGCAAATATGATACTCCTGATTGATGACCTAATAATGGATATGAAAAGACCAGACTTCATGGAAAAACGCTGTTACACAACTTTTGAAATGTTTGAAACACGACCAAGAGCTCAACTTACCTCTTTCCTACAGAAACAAAAAATCAAGAATAAAAAGCATACGAAAAATGAAGGAAGGTTCAGTCAGCTTCTTCTTCAAGCAACACCATCGTATGCATAGTCAGCCTTATTGTGCATGATGAGGCGGTCATCGACGAAGTAGAAACTGTCAGACCGTGTTTCATAGGGGTTTGCGATCATTTTCTCCACTAAAACGCGTTATTTAATGAGCTGGAACAAACAACCAATTATATGAAACGCAGTCAAAAGGCATTATTCCTAGTTGAATTTTCAAGGACATTGACCACATTTTATTATCCAATGAAAAGAAACAGAACAGTTGAGCTGCATGACGAATGAGTCCAGCATAAAGGGAAAAAAGTTAGACATAAAAATTCAGTATAAAGGTATTAGAATGTTCAAAATAGTTTGTTTTTTCATAAAATTCTCAGTGATATCTGAAATTAAATTAAAATTTTAAAATATTTGTTTACTTAGACAAGTTTTTTTTAAATTAAACAATTTAACTCGGATTTAGAAAGTGCGCAAGTACTGTTGAATTCGATTCGCAGTAATGTCTGCCATGATCACGCATCTCAAGGTGCTGAGGCACCTTCAAGTGCTAAGTATGGTTCGAAAAGACAGTAATTTCTGTAATAAATCTAGTAATAACGCGAAGCAATCCCATAAGAAACCTAAAAACAATGGCTTTAGTCTCCCGCATATAAAAGAACAATTTTCAAGTTTCTCAACTATATACGAAACACGTTCGAAATTCATCAAGAAACGCCATGACACGGGTGCAAAGAGTTCTTCATCCAAAAATGGGAAAGTAACTACACCAGGTTTCACTCAATTCACAGGCGGCTCGCCACCCTGAGATACAAGATTGTTGCCAATCTTGTTTCGGATCCAGCAGTAATTGCACACTCCCTGAATCTGAATTAAATAAATAAAGCAAAAAATATTTAAACGGATTAATGTTCTACACTTTAGTTCAAAACCGGTACTAAGACTTTCTTGAAAATTTTTATCGAATAATGCTTGCCATTTTGAAAATTGTGAAAGCAATTTAAAAATAACCATCGCACTGCAATAGAGAAAACTGCTAGAAATGGATTAAAGTAGAAAACGTATTAAATTATATGAACGTTTCAAGACATATTATATGGACCAAAGGAAATAAATGTCAGCAGAACAATTGTGCCTCACGATTGCACAATAATAATTCTAAGGTGCGCAAGGTTAGTGAAACATATGAATCACTCCTTCTGAAGCAGTAATCAATGGAATAACCACATGGAGTAGATAAGTCATATGATTCATCACTGACATTATATGTCACGCCTTTGTTAGCGGAGGTATGCCTCGATACCCAAAAAGTTGGTGGATTTTATCATGATGTTGTCGGTAATGATAACGTCGCTACAGTTAAGGTTATGACAGTTTTCAAAGATGATCCGTGATCTGAAGTGCGTGTCCTTGTTATGGGTACGAGCCATAACCCTGAATGAGTTATTAGGTTTATGTAGTTTTTACATATGCATTAACAGTTGAAATCAAACGCTAGGCCACTTCCGTGTCGAATTTCCCTCGATCCGGATATCTCCCCTTTCGCGATGCTTATTACAGTGCTGCTGCTGTCCACTTTGTCTGAAAAAAGACAATCTTGGCTGATGGCGTGGAAATTGCGATCAGCACATGAGCCTCATCATGAAAATGTACGGAAGATCTATATTTAAACGGCTAAAAACTTTCCTTTCCTTTCGAAAACAGATATTCTTCCTATTTTTCAGAACTTGACTTTACTTAACTACTAACACATACTATCAATTTCATTTTTCTAAAGCCACTTTTAAAATGATTCCTCTGAACATCCGTAAGAATTAAAATTTGGCTTTCTGATATTTGACAAGCAAATGTGAACCATAACGCCGTTGTTCTAATAAACTACATGTCACATGAAGATTCAGTCTTCCTGAAAGTCAGCTGAAGCCATCGCTGATTACATGATAAAAAATAAACATCCGGTCAGCATGCAGCGGTTCTGAACGAAAAATAATGCTTAATAAAGTTCTTAATGTCGGTGCATCTTGTTCAGCCTTATATACTTTTGGCAGTTTAACAGCTAGTAAGTTTAAATAGCTTTGTGCCGTTATGTCGGTATCTCTGGTTAAGATCAGCTTCAGCATCACGTGTTATCATATTTTACATCATACATGTGTACACCAGACGAACTGTCCTATACGCAGTGTCCTAGAGTACTTTCTGAGGGTCAAAGATGTCTAAGCTGACCAAATGAATAAAGGATCGTGTTCACGTGTCAGCGATATGCATTGCACAAACAAAACGAGCTACTGCTAACCGGGAAACAGGGTTTCGTTAGACGATTTAACTGCAGCGATTTATACATGTCCGCTGACGGAGCTAAATAAATCATCCTCTACCCTTATATAGTAAGATGCTACTGCTGAACCAATATCGGTCCATTAATTTCAGAACGAGTCCTTACAAACACTG